GTCTTTCCCATCGCACGCATGTAGTAAAGAAATTCAAGACAGAAGGGTATGGAGACAGCAGCACAGAAGAACAAGGTGAGGAACAAGGCCAAACAGGAAAGAAGCCCTGTCATGCGATTTATTCGTCAACACGTAGTCGAGGCCCCCAAGGGTGCAAATTTATCCTTGAAACAGCTTTATGAATCGTACTCGGAATGGCACCAATTACATCACCCTAGTGACCAGGTGATGACGTTGTTTGTGTTTTCACGTAAGCTCCGTCATCTTGGGATGAAATGTCGCACCATTCGGTTTCAGGGTGGGGTGTGTAAGGGATTTACTCGAATAAAGGTCGTGAGTGTGTTTACCGACCCCAGTACAACAGCGGAGCCAGAATTAGAGTGTGAATTAGAGTATGGACCAGCCGAACAGACCAAAGTACTGAATAAGCTTTTGAAGGAGGGCAAACAGGAAGACAGAGGACATACCATCGATGGAAGTGGTATGGTGAGTGTGGTTCAAGGGTCCAACGACGTGAGTTTGCCAGACACCAATAGCCAAACGTACTGTATGGAACGTTTGGTTATAAAACACGTGTTCACGAAACAAATCGATGAACCACAGTATGGATGGTTTCATTTTAAACCGACGTTGTATGAAGAAGCGGTCAAAGAACTACAAACAAAGTTCACCAGTCCGCAAGATTATGTCGTATTCAAACAAGGGGACAAGGCTCCCTGGCCCTTACCTGTGCAGAGCAAGTATTTCTATAAGGATCCTATCTACGTCACTTTATCGACCTTACTGCATTTCGATAAGTCAGACTATCTTCAAGAACGATTGCGTTGCTTCCAGTGGTTGAAGACACAACACCACCGCATTTTAACGCGACATTCTAACGATAAAGGGGTCTATCTTGGATTTACTTTGGTTGATGATAAACCCTACATCAAGTATGGCCAGACAACGTGTCTTTCCCGGCGGACAGATCAGCATATCCGTAACTACCCCAACTTCTTTCTGATCCATTTTCAACCCACCATGTATGACCGTGAGTTGGAACGCATGTTTGAACAAGTCATTAAGCCATATCGCAAGCCCATGGTGGTGGCGGGTAAGAAGGTCACAGAAATCATTGATTTTACATCATGTCAAGACCTATGGGATGGTGGAGTGATGTGCTTAACGAACTGCTTCATGGAGATGAGTAGGATTGTCTAGGGATGCCCGCGATTCCATAATTGGAATTGTTTGTCCCACAAGTTGCCCGTACAAATCGGGGTCGCGGTCCGTAAAAGCTGAATCGTAAGCCCCACAGGTTGCCCGACAACCAACTATCGTCGAAGACGGAGCATTCAGGGATCAGGAATTACAAACTGTCGTCGTATAGGTTGGTTGGAAAGCGCCACTCCATGCCTCTCCATCCACTCGATAAAACGGGTCGCACTCCATGGGTGTTTGGTTAGTGAAAAAACATGAAGAGACCCTGACACCATAGGGTAGATGCCCGGTGTTATTGCAATAAGATTGCGATTTAATTGCGATAATTTCTCTCCATCCATGGAGAGGAGATTGCGATATTGCGATTTTTTTCTAAAGAGTTTTATACTATGAAATAGGGACACAGTCCCTATTTAAAGGGTAGGTAGCCTATAGTAGTATAAAAGACTTTTGGTCCCAAAATCGCAATATCGCAATCCGCTCTCCATGGATGGAGAG